CTGAAAACCACCATCCCTTTTCCCAGTGAACTGGCTGGTGAGTGTCTCCTGGCCAGCTGGTCTTGCTGCCTGGAGCTGCTGATTCCCTTCCTGCCCTTCCTCCTGCCTGGCCATAACCACAACAGTTCATGGCTTTTCCTGTCCCGCTGCACCACGAGACCGTGGAAAGCCACGACTGCCAAGCTTTGACTGTAGAAAGAATGAAAAGTAACAAGAGAAAGGATTAAACTGATGAAAGGCATCTGGGTTTGCTGCATGAAGGCACAGCTCAGTGATGCTCTGCTTTTGCAGATGTGGGGGGAACAGCCCCTCCTCTCACAACATTTTGGCAGCCCCCCCCCCCCCCCCNCTTCAGGGCTGTGTGACCCTTTGCCAGCTTTTATGTATTCCTGCTGTAAGAACATTTATTGCCAATAGGCCCTGGGTGCTGAGCAGCTCACGAAAGGACTATTATCTCCCTTTCAGCTGGAAGCTGAGCTTTGTTGCTCTGCTAACCACGACAGCAGCCAAGTGAACACAACAAAATGTCCATGAATTATTGCAGGCAACGCCCATGTCCTCCCCAGTGGTGTGTGGCAGGGTCATCTGCTCCTCACTATTCTGGTCTACCTGGGAAATCTCTTTCAGTGTCTAATTTTGTCAAGTGTTTTCACTTTAAATCCAGTGCAGTGGTGACACGTTGGTTATTTGACCATAATTCAGTATATAAAACCAGCTGTAACCAGGAGCATTGCCTTCTGCATGGCCTTGAGTGCTGGAGTAAAACTCACCTGATCTGAATGCTTGTTTCTCCAACAACACATGCTCCAGGTCTTTTGGCTGAGACTGTCAGGGCATTTTCCAACCCTGGTTCACTGGAGAGCAGCCTCAGTTGTGTAATCCCACAAATGCCTGTGATGCAGCCAGATTTTGGCACTGGTGGGATGAGCGTGCTCCAGAGTGCCCATGGCCAGCCCTGTGCTCCCACAGTCCTGACTGGAATGCCATGGAGCTCATCAGAGCATCCTCTTGCTGCAGTGGGAGGCCAGAGGCATCACACCCTGGCTCTGGCTCATTAGTTCCTGTGGCACTAGAGATTTGTTCCTTTCCAGTACATTTCCTAATGCTCCTGTCATTCTGGGTATAAAGGTCTTGAAAAACTTCTCTTATGAGTGATTCTGCATCACCTGATAATTCTCACCATTAGGAGTTCCTCAAACTGAGATTTTATTTACAGTGCAAAGCAGAGGGAGCTGCAGTCCCTACCCTAGAAAACTGTCAGTCTAGTAATTTTAATTTTGAAAGTCCTATAAAATCCAGCTGCCTCAGCCTCCTTCCAGCTACTGCTGTTCCAGATATCCCTGACTGGAAATCTTGCCCCCAGTGTCAGAAGCAGCTAGCAGGGCTCAGGTACCTTTAACTCACACAGTGCCCCCACTTGGGGACTTCACACCCAGCGTGTCACTGTCCTGCTCCCTCCATCAGTGCCTGACGAGCAGGGAACGGAGCTGAGCAATGCAAGCCTGTGCCTGCATTTTTCTACCCTGGTCTGGGTGATATTGATTGGTCCATTAATGTAAATATCTTGGTTGTTGTGTGTTGCTTTCCTTGCTTATTAATCAAAATAATGCAAAATGAGAGGGAAGAAATTTTTAGGAAAAAAATTAAATACCATCAACAGTGATTGAATGGAGTCTGCTGGAATGTGATGGGACTGTCTGCCACCCACCAGGCATGAGGATCCCCGTCATAACTGGGGAAAAACAACTGAAATGTTTTATTTTGACAATTTTGGTCAATAGTTAGATGTTTTCTGTTGAAGCAGTGTTTTGATTTGCCTAAATCTATTTGTTTGGTTAAAAAAATAATAGCATCCCAGTGTTTTGTTTGCATCTGACATATTTCTGTCAATTGCAAATGGTTTTTTTGATGTGTGGGTTTTTGTTTTGCTCGGAAAACAAATGGAAGGAAACAACTTTAATTTGTGGGCACCTTAAAGTTATTTTTGCTACTGCCATTTAGGCAGACCTCCCTATAGCCAGCAGTGGATGCAAAACACTGAGACATAAACAAAACATCTGGGATGTGAATATTCCCACTGAACCAATTCACAGGTTGGAAATTGAGCTGGTGCTTAAGTGCCGTGGTGGATTGAGGCTTTAGCAGTAACAAACAGTACTAAGGAGTAAAAATGATCAATTAAAGATCTCCTAATGAATCAAAGTATTAGCTGCTCTGAGCTGAGAAGGCCAGGAGCTGAAAGGGGGATTAGAGACAATGTGAAATCTCCCTGTTTGGTGTTTCTGACTACCTGGTAGCCACAGCTCTGCATTGCTTGTATTTCTTGGTGAAACTGAAGAGAAGGGAAAACGTGAGACACTGTTGCTGATCTGTTTTTTTTTCTTTTATGTAAACAGAATACAGATATTTATTTCCTTTCCATACGCAGAGTTAAAAAAAGAAACCAAACCAAACGAAAAAAGGGATGACTGGAAAAAATTACTCTCATTGAAATTGATTGTTGTTACCTCAAACCTTGGGAATATGAATTTGTTTTGTGATACAGCTGATGGATTTTGCTATGCAGCCTGGCAGTGTGAGAGGACATAATGCATGTAGTAAGGGTGACTAACCCCTGAGAACATCCCCAGCAATGCCAAGTGGCCCATATGCTGCCATAAACACTTTTTCTTCTTTTTTTTTTCCCCACACTGATCATAAGAGCCCATTTTGGATAGAAGATCACATTAGGCTCATTCATTACCTGCTGTGATGGTCTGTGCATCTGCAGTGCAGCATCTCTGCACTGAGCTTTGGACTACACCCCTGCGTGTTTTCTGATATTCCAAATTGGCTGTCACGAGTGTACAGATCTTCTCCTGTGCGTCCTGGAGCATTCTGCACAGAGGTGAAAATTACTCTTAAAGGTGGCTAAACTTCTGGGGAATATGGCTGTTGATAGCTGATGTTAGATTTTATATATATAGTCAAGCGAAATTCCTGAAAATTGATACTTGTAGCAAAACTATCATTCCTTGTAGCTGAAGAGAAGGAAACTGACTGGCAGATGAACTGACTCTATTCTTATGAATAAATTTAAAATCTAATGAGAACAACAGGTGTCAGACAGTAGTGAAATTTTACAGTATCCCTGCAAACTTTAATCTACACTTCTATTTTTCTTGAAAGCCTGTCCAAAAGTGAAATTTCAGGCCTAGGGCTACTGAAGACTGTCTTTAAAGTTGCTTTGTGATTTTGAGCAATACATCATACGAGCTGTGATGTTCGGATGATACATTGCACTAATACATCACAGGAGCACTTTTGCTCTTATGATATATTAGTATAATACACTATCAGAACACTATCACTGATATATTACTCAAAAACACAGTTGTGCACCCTCAAGATTCACCCTTATCTCTAGTCTGAATACACTGAAAGCTGTGGATAATGATAAGAATAAGAAATCACATATATTCAGTTTCTCTAGGGTAAAGCTGAGGAAAAAAAATAGTGTGGTATTCGGAATATTTCATTAACTGAAACATTCTTGTGTTTTCATTTTATTCACTGAGCAAATGATATTATGGATAGAAGCTAACACAATATAGGTGTGTTTGAATTTTCTTACAAATAGCCTAAGAAAACCTTTTATTTCATATTTCATTATAGACTTAAGCCATGTTTTGAGAATGTTTCGATGAGGTGCAGGAGTTTCAGCTGATTTCTACCTCATCAAATTGAATCAGGTGCAAACTATCTAAATTCTATGGAAACCATTTGGTGCTGTTTCTGATGCAGTCATTTTCTTTTTTTAAAAAAGGATTTATGCACCATCTAAAAAGATCTGAAGATGCATAAATGAGATCTATCACTCAGATTATTTTCTGCCTCTCCTCACCGAGTTGTTGGGGTTTTTTTCCCCTGAAGAATTATTCTCTGTTGTTGTTTTTCTTTACTCAAGAGTGAAAGACAAAGGGAGAAAGAGAACTAGAGAAAAGAATGTTTTGCAATGTTAGTAGCTGTACTTACTGCAGAAAAGTATTTTTCCCAGTAGAGTTTAGGTCTTGAGGATCTTGCATTACCCTTCCTTTATGGAAGGAAGAGAGTGTCAGGAAAAAAAAAGTTAGTAGTAATAACACAACATTAAGGTGCCAAGTCATGTATTTGTGTTCTTGCCCATAGTTCTGTTTGCTTTCCCCAGATCACATCAGCACTTTTGATGAAAACTCATCATTTACCTCCTTCCCAACTGGGTAACCCAAAGCTGCCTGTGCAGCTCAGTGCTCAGCTCTGCTAGCCCGTGGGCAATGGCCCTGTGCCAGAGGGGCACGCTTCAGGCTGTGCCAAACTGGGCTCCTAATCCTTGTGCCTCACAGGTTTTGGGACCCCTGGCACTCTGTCCCTGCAGGTGTGTCCCCAGCACGAGTCCTGTGCCCCCACAGGCCTCAGCTTGTTGTATTTGGGCTACAGCCCCCAGGGAGGAAAGGAAGCATTGAAGTATTTTTAAACTTGTGAGAGGCATTGTCCTCTTCTGTCAGCCTTTCCACCCACGTGCTGTCCTGGTGTGGCAGCAGCTCCTGTGTCCCCAGACAGGGAGCCCTGAGCTCAGGCTGCCCACACGGGCTCTCCACCACATCCCATCTCCAGCACCTTCTTATTCCCCTCTATTCCAAAGACACAACACTCAGCTCCAAGGGACATTGTTATTTCAAAGCTGAGGCTAAATATGCCTCTGACTGACAACTATGAATAATTCCACAGAGCCCCTAAACTTCCAGGCATTTCACTCTGAAGCTCATATAATACACCAGGGCTGCTCTCTCATGTCTTTCATCTTTTATATTCTCCAAAGGGTTGAGATACAGTTATGGCACAGGTTAATGTATTTTCCTCTGAAAATAATGCTGTGGGAGCCTGTGCTCACGGTTACCTGTGTGTGTTAAGAGTAATGCTGACAGTTCAGAAAAGAAAGTCGTGAACTTGATTATCACCATTATTTTGTTTCACGTTCTCAGCATGTTCATGTCCATGTGCTGCCAAGGAGGGCTGGAGACTTTAGCAGGAATGATGATGTCTACGAGGAGGTAAGAGTTACACTCCATTTCTTCTTCAGAGTTGGTTTTGCTGTTAGTAAATTGCCTTAATAATCCAGGCCCTCCCATGGGTGGAGGGATGGGATCTCTGAATTTTCATTGCTTGCAAAGATCCTTTGACATCACCAAGATCTATACTGGGATTTCCTTGTGAGCTCCCTCTCTGAGGGAGGATACAGCTGACACCTTTGGTACTTTGGTCTGTCACTGCACACAGGCTGCATCTCTACAAAGAGTTGTGTTCTCTTATTTTGAGGGCACAGGGAAAAAGGGCGACCACATGGTCAGCCTGGCATGCAGGGAGGGTGTCCTGTGCCAGCTGCTCGCCTGGGGTGCCAAACCTCCCCCTTCCAACCAGAGAAAACACAGGCAGCTTGTTACAACTCAGTCACAAATTGCCTTCTGGCCTGATTTTTGTAGGGCTCTGCTCAGCTCTGGACAAATCACACCGTAGTCCCAAAGATGGAAATTAAAGAGCAGCTCTGCATATACATGGAATATCTGCATGTGTGCAGATTGTGCAGCAGAGCTTGGCTCATGAGCTGTTCCAGTGTGACTGAATCACTGGCTTTTGTTTAAATGAACAATTGTACTGGCATTAACAAAAAGTTTTCCCCAGTTTGACAGCTGTCACAATGGTTCTATGAAAAATTCCCACTATTGTTAAATTTACGGCTTGTTCTTCGTGGGTTTGGTAGGATCCTCTATCTGAAATATGACATCTCCTTCTCTTTCTGAAAGTAATTAATATAAACTTGTTCAGTGCTACTGCAATACCATCTGCTTGAAAGAGACATCATGACATTTTCTGCTTTTGTATTTTTTCTTTTGTGATATCTACATGACAAGTCCCCACTCACAAAAAAAAAAAAATTGATGGTGTGTTTTAAAGTTTTTCAATTACTTAAATATGCAAAACTGGAGAAGAAAGCATATTACTGACAAGTTAATATGAAGTGTAGTGCCTGAAAACCCCACTAATAGGGTAAAACCTTAATGAGACTGCTGAGCAGGAAGATCCAGTGAAATAAATGATGGCAATCTTTGCTGGTGTGGTGGTTAAAGCAGTTGAATGAGACAAAAGTTAACACCAAAAGGGTTGTCAGGAGCTGGAAAAGGCTGTTCAGGGAGGTGATGGAGTCACCATCCCTGCAGGTATTGAAAAGATGTGAAGATGGGGCTCTCAGGGCCGTGGGGTAGTGATGGCTTGGCAGTGCTGGGTTAATGGTTGGACTCAGTGTTTTCCACCTAAATGATTGTGTGGGTCTGTGATCTTTTCCTTTTCACATGTGTTAAGGGGTTCTGGATGCTGCATCAACACATCAAATCTCTTTCTGTTTCTTTCATATTTACAATTCCATTTACTTCTTTTTTAACGCAATTATTTCTCCCTTGTTGTAGCTAAACAGAAACAGTCAAAGCTCTTATGAACTAGAACATGTGGTTACTGTTGTTAGATGCAAAAGGGTGGCAAATTGGGGAAGAATTTCTTTTTTATTTTGTCATTTCCAATTATAGCAATTGTAGGTGTTGCTTTTAGCAAACAGGAAGCATAAATATTTAGACATAGATGTGATAAATTATCTTTTAGCAGAAGAACGTATAGCCTCAGAGTCTAACCAGCTATTCTTGAACACCACAGAGCTAACACACTTTTGTACAGACTGTAGCTGAAGGAAGATTTAATTTTTCTTAGGATGCCAGGGAAACAAAAATATATTTCCTACTATAAAAAGTTTGGTGCCGAGTTCTATCACTGTCTGGATTGAGGATGGAGGGACTTAAGCAATTTGCTATCATAAGTGAATAAAGCTATTTTGAAAAATGAAAAAGGGACAAATTATTGAAAATGCAGCTGACTTTGGAAATAATTTGGAACTTATGTCAGTACAGCAAAAACATTTTGATATAATGCATCTCTGTGTGATGTCAGCAAGTCATATCCTTTTGACAAGGAGATACTTTAAAAGATTTAAGAAGATATGTAGATCATAGTGGGGAAACAGGCTGGAAATCGACGAGGGATAAAGTACCATTTGGTGAGATGTGGGTGCTGGAGAGAGCTTTAAATCTATTTTTCTTGAAATTTGTACTTTAAAAATCCAAATCCTGCTCATAAACGACACTTCATTTCCATGTATTTGAGTGATAGATGGAGTTGTAGTTTAGGCAGCAAAGACCACCTTCCAAAATAATCCAAATGATCTTTTCCTTTCTAAAATGTGACATGGAGGCTGCTCAGGCTCCCTCAAACAGTCTGTGCAATTGTAAAGCACGCCTAGGATAAATTGTGCATATTGCAGTGCCTGGTTTAACTACCACAGTTAAAGGTTTAACAGCAATTGGGAGCAATTTTCACAGGCTCCAGGTCTCAGCTCTGGCTCAACATGTCCTTTGCAAACCCCTTTCTATCTGTAAATGCCTTTGAGCTCTCCAAGCTCTGCAGTTGTCATCTGTATATGCTCAGCAGATTGCTGATAAATCCCACTGCTCTCAGTGTCTGACAGTGGAAGGAATGCCCAGATGCTGAGACATCAGTCCTCTTGGAGACTTATGGAGTCAAGACAGCCAGAAAGTGCTCACAATCCTTCACTGTGTGCTTAATTTCTCCCATTCAGTTTTGGAATGACCACTCATCTGATGGAAAAGGCAGAAGAAAGCGTATCAGGTTGTTCCCTGCTTAGTCTGTTTTTGTCTGGGCTCTGAGATCTTCAGGCTTTTGGCTATGAAGCTCTGACACAGCCCTGTCTAAAGCAGCTCTTATGTGTAAAGAGTATAATTAAAGGTAAGGTGTTTCTTAGCACTTGTCTTTTAATCAGGTATCTGATGGACACAAATGCCTGCTGATTTCTGGATATATTTTTAGAACTGTAGTAGTGGAAAATTAATTGTAGAAGGAATAAAAGAGGGGCTGACACTTATTTCACAGCACCTTCTCTAAGGCATTCCTTGGTAGAATGTGTCACTTAATATTTTAGGTTCTTTCACCTCAGTGCATATGAAAGAAGTCACTGTGTGATTTTTCCAAGATACAAAGAGAATCGCTAATAGTAAAAAACAGACTGCATGTAATATTTTAGATGTATTTCTTCTGCATCTTTGCAGAGCTATTTCTTGGAAGGATATTTCCTGGGAAGTGTTAGTTATCCACTCTCTGGGCTCACTGTAGTGGAAAGCTAAAGCTATAGTTTATCAGTTCTTACATTTATCTGCAATTATTTGAAGCCTAATCCTGCAAGTGTGCACATGCCAAAGTTAAATTGGTCTTACAGGTTTTTTTATAGGATCAGGGCCTACATCTTTTGCTAGATTACTTTTCTCATCTTCATCTTGAGTAGTTCTTATTCATTGATTCCCTTTATTTCTTGGACAGCAGAACAATAGCAGCTAAATATTAGGAAAACTTTACATTAGAATAACTCTTTATACCACTGTGTTTTCTGTTTGGTTTGAAAGAGATTGTATTTCAGATTTATTAATCAAGGAACTTAAAAGCCTCTTATCAAGTAGTTGCTTGCTTTGAAGTAGATGAGTTCTTTGCTATTGTAAGTCACAGTGACTGATAAGAACTTGGTCTGAATGAACATCTTTACTGTAGAACAGCCCCCTGTGTTGTTGCAGTCAGCACAAGTACTGCAGTTGCTGGAGGTCATCGTGTTCAAGATATTCAAGAACATTATCCTGAAAAGTCTCAGCACTTCCAGGCATCTGTGTACAGCCCTCATTCAGTGGGTGTTTGAAAAGTCCATAGCACAGCCTGTCCCTGGTCTCCACTGAGTGGTTAGCCATTACTGCAATATAAATACCATTCATCATCCTTTGGGTTGGCAGGTAATAGCTGTACTGGGCCAGAGACGATGAGGCTTTCTCAGAAAGGAAGACTCAATCTAAACTCCACACTCCTGTTATGAGTGCTGACCTCAATAAGTTAATTTTGAGGCTGACAGACTTGGATGGGTAAGGGCAGCCTGGCCTCTCAGTGAAACCCTGAGCATCCCTGAGCATGCTGAGATGAGTTTTGTGGTGCACACCCCTGCTGCTCCCCAAACTCTGTGTTTCACTTGGTGCCTGCAGCCTCCTGTAACAGATGCAGCTGTCACAGTGATGCACATCCAGGGCTGTGCATGCAGGGCAAGGAGTGCCCAGCTCCTCACCAGCCTGGCTCTCATGCCCACCTCATCTCACTGCCTGTTTGCAGGTCCCAGCCTGGGCTGGAGAGCACTGGGAAAGGGGAAAGGGTGAAAGAGAGAGGTTAATCCAAACCTCTGTGTCTCCATCCTCCTCTACCTGCCAGACCTGCATCATGGATCTCTTGTAATGAACCTGAGTGAAACTTCCTGCTGTGAGTTCTTCAGTAATTTATGAGATTTTGTAAAAAGCCAGCAAAAGAATTCGCTTCATGCTATCCTCCTTCCCCTCTGGCATTCAGGCAAGCAGAGAGAGAGTCACTTAGGAAAAGATACTTTGACTTAGTGATCTCATTCAGCACGTTATGTTAAATCATTTCAGCAAGAATACCTATTAGTAATCATTTCCAGTTCCAGGGAGGATGAAGGAGGCATTTTGGCATATGAGTCAAGAACCTGCTGGGCTGATTCTTCAGGCTGGCAAAACAGGGGAACTGTGGTGAATTCAGAAGTTTAGTCAAACAAGCCTGAAGTTTAATTCTCCCTGAAAGGCTTTGACTGTGACATGCCATCACTCCGACCTGCAGACAGCGTCCTGCCTGCTGCTGGGCACTGAGCCTGGCAGAGGGCTGGAAACCTGCACAGCTGCACTGAAATGCTTAGGCTTAAAGGTAAGGTGTGAAGTAAAAAGATAAATAAGCCCTCATCCAGGTCCTGTGAGACAAAATGGAAAGATGCCCAACAGCTCCTGTGAGCATCAGATTGAACTATTCATGAAAATTAATGGCATGCAGAGCTAATAGGCTGTTCCTTGGCCTCAGAATGATATTGTACCTTCTGGGAACATATTGTAGCCTGCTGGGA